TCGTTTGGTTTTCCAAAACTGCATGGGGAGTACAGTTTTACTGCGTCAAACCATGGACAAACGAAGTGAAAGACTCTTAATGCTCTTCGGTGTTAGCTCCTTTTATATTGTGCAGGTAGTGAAGCTAGTGAAGCTAAAGTGAGCTAAGGTGCAGACTAGACGTGTCTGTTATAATTGCAGTATGCATGTACTATACGAGTGAAATAAAAATGAGTCAGTTTTAAAAAATTTAGAGTAAAACATTTTCAACACAGCGTGCCACTTTTAGTCCTTGAGAAACGTGGGACAGGTCCTGGAAAGTGCTTTAACATGCCTTGAGTTTTCGCTTTGAAAACCTGTACGAACCCTGTGGCTGGCGTTTATGCTACTGGGAGGAGTCTGTCACATAGGTGATAATACCAGCACCTCTACAAATAAAATTTCACGTCCTAAACAAAGGCAACATTTAAAAGGTGGCTTCACAAGGTCCAAGTCCCAAGAGCGGTCAGCACAGCACAGCCAAAACAAAGGCATATGCACAAGAACTAATTCGTCTGCCTCTTCCAGACCAGCAGATTAGGTGCGTGGCAGTATAACGAAATCCTCTTTATAGGGAATTTTTTCGATAATTTATCAATTTTGTAATACCCTGGTTCGACTGTAGTCAGTCTTGTATTTATGTAACTGGATTCAATTTTTTTTTAACCAGCATGAAATAGATGTAAACTATAGTTAAATTTTCAGTGATTTTAGCTTTTTAAACTAAAAAAAAAATGTTTGTGTCATCTGCAAACATGATTATTGCAGGAGATTCACAGGTCTTTACCAAATCATCTACACAAAGCATGAATAGAAGTGGCGCTTAGGTCGGTCCAATTTCCTGTTCTAGTGTCATTTTCTGAGTGCGTGCCCTTGTTCAGTTAAAAGATGAACCAATATCAACTAGCCCAATTATCCGTGCTACTGCAATAGAAGGGGTTTGCGTAATTCTGTCTCTTGTATCTTGTCTGCTTACACATTCTTAATACCGCTATGAATAAGAAAGGGCCTGAAATTGACCCTGCAGAACACCTACTTGCGCGCCCTTGCCCACAACCATCCAATGAATAGAATTTTCACGAGTCTGTTTTGAAAACGCTGTTGATTCTGCCTTTTCTGATCAGCATGTGGCAACGTGGGGCACTTGTGTCGATGTTCTATGCCTCAACGCTCTATGCTTATTGTAAGTATTGTAAGTTCTTGCTTTGAAATTATAGGGTAGTACTGAGTTTCAGTGTATATACGTTATACGATGCTTGCCTCCGGCATTTTGTGACTTTCAAAAATACTAGTCAGCTCTGACTTACCTGAATATGACAACTTAATTTTAGCCTGAAACACAATTACACAAGCTTGTGCATTCACCGTGGCATGTGACAGTCTCACGATGGGCTGAAATTCCTCTAGTATCCAATTCTTACAAGCTGCAAAATCCAAAAAACAGAAAAACAGAAATAAAACAGAAAACTAGATTCTCTCATGAACTGTATTTATTCCTCTTCTCTTGAAGCAATGAGAAGTGTCGTCATTCAACACTGTTCTGCCTCTTCTGCTGGCAGCACTGTAGGATTGTTCTTATGCGGCATTGTTAGCACCTTGAAGCACATTGCCGATGCTGTATCTACGGTGTGGTGCACTCAGTATGGACATCTACTGGGTGCACAGGAACATGCAAGCAATTATCTAAACTACACTTGGACATGTGCATAGAAAAAATTAGTAGCCACTGTTAGTTTGCCACTCCTGATGGACTGTTGCTACTAAAAAGTTACAATCATGATGATTACAACCTATCATTTTTTTCTTGAGATGTGGTGAAAGGCACTAAAGTACAGGTGTGAAGAATTGTGGTATAGGGCCTTTCTTAGTTCCTAAATCTGGCTCGAGAAAAATGATTTAAAAGTAAAAGAGCATCTCAACATGCATGCCAGTGGTGGCATTCTCTATGGCTGCATACACAGCAACAGTCGACCCTAAAGCGACTACGCAATAAAAAGCAGCGCCTTTTTCGGAAAGCCAAATGCTCGAGGTCAACTGACCGATGGGCTGCGTACAATGAATCAGCCGATGAATATGCGCACGCGCTTGCCGTGGCTAAGCGTTCTTTCTTTGAAGTTACCCTCCCCTCTATGCTTAGAACTAATCCCCGTAGATTTTGGCTAACCATCAACGGAAAAAGTGAAAAGAAAATTGAACTGATGTCTGAAGACGACTGTATGATCCCAAGTGAAATGTGCTGCGAAGCCTTAAATACGGTATTTTCGTCGGTATTTGTGACCTGTACGCCATACTGTTTGTCTCCTTTCCCTGCCTGCAATTATTTACCTATGGATCCATTAATCATAGACTGGGTGGGTGTTGCCAAATTGATAAGGAATCTGAAACCTTCCTCCCCCGGAGATGATGGTATTAACCCCAAATTCTTAAAAAATACTGAAATGTTATCCGCTATAATTCTATCTAAGATTTTTTCACAGTCTCTGGAAACTTCTGCAATACCACAGGATTGGAAGGTCGGGAAGGTGGTTCCTTTGCCCAAAACAGGTAACACTCACAATCCCATCAATTACAGACCCATATCGCTCATCAGTGCACCATGCAAAATTGTTGAGCACATTATCTACAGCCATTTAGTCCGCTTTCTCGAAAAAAATTACTCCTGTGAAACTCAGTTACTTAGCCTCACTAACGACCTATTTTGCGCCGCTGACCGTTCTTCAGTTATCGACTGCGTATTTATCGACTTCACGAAGGCATTCGATACCGTTTGTCATAAACTACTGCTTTCTAAATTAAACTCAATCAATCTAGATGTAAATATTCTCAAATGGTTGGAGTGTTTTCTAAGTAACCGCACACAATACGTTGTTGCTAATGGCTTTATTTCCACGCACTGCTCTGTTACGCCTGGTGTGCCGCAAGGTTCTGTCTTAGGTTCCCTATTATTCTTAATTTATTTTAATGACTTGCCGAATACACTATCATCAACTATTAGACTCTTCGCGGATGACTGCGTAATTTACAGAGAAATTTTGGATTCCGCCGACCAAAGTGCGCTACAATATGACCTTAATAATATTTCTACCAGGTGCGATACATGGTTAATGAAACTGAACACAAATAAGTGCAAAGTAATGCGAGTAACCCGTCAAAAACATAATACTACAGCGTGCACTTACATACTCATCCACGACCCCCTAACCAAAGTGTCATGTTACAAATATCTTGGCGTGTACATCTCGGATAACTTTTCTTGGCAAACACACATCGATCATATCACAAGCGACGCTAACCGCATGCCCGCTTTTTTACGACGAAACTTTGCTCTTGCTTTAGCAGATATAAAACTCGTTTTATACAAAACTTTAGTTCGGCCAAAGCTGGAGTATGCGTCGTCGATCTGGGACCCGCATATCAACTCGTTACTTCATGATATCGAAGCTATCCAGAATCGTTCCGCACGCTTCATATTATCAAACTATTTTCGTACGGCTAGCGTCTCGTCCTTGAAATCTTCCCTTAACCTACTTGATCTGTCTGTTCGCAGGAAAATATCACGACTTTGTCTTTTTCATAAAATTTATCACGCCAATTCAACGCTCAAAGATTCGATGCTTTTTCCTCCCACTTATTCGACAAGAAACGACCATCAGTTCAAGGTTGGCGTACCGAGCAGCCGGACAAACTATTATTTCAACTCATTTATTCCTAAAACCAGCTCGGACTGGAACCACCTCCCCACCTGCATTGCTTCAATAATTAATCCAGCCAATTTCAAGGTGGCTATTAGTGGCCATATTACCCGTTTTTTTTTTTTTTTTCGCGAATTCCGCGGTTTTGTGTAAATCCTGCTCGGTTGTTCCCGTGTACGGCAAATGTTTTTGGCGCCTTTTGATTTTTCCTTTCTGTTATTGTTTGTTTACTTTTCCAGTTTATGCGGATATTTCAAATATGTTTCATATGTGTAACCACACTCCTGCTGCATTGTATACCTGTAGAGTGTTTTACCCCCCACTCCTCTCTGTAATGCCCTTGGCCCTGAGAGTAAATAAATAAATTAATAAATTTGTCACCACAGTCACTGATCGTTTCATTAAACCTGTAATTTCAGCGTGTGTGTGTCGTCTTCTTTTCTTGTGTACGCGTCCCTAAGCTGGTTTCTCTGTTTCTTCAAGTATGTACCAACCGACCCAGCAACAAATCTACAGCTACTATTCGCTTCAAATTTGCTTTGAACCAAGAAATTGTTGTTTGCCTTAGCCTACTATAAAGTAAAGAAATTTGTTACCACTGAAATTCACTGTACTCCTGATCTGCCCTGATCACATAACCAATGGTGGCACTTCCCCTAGCCTGTTTGTCTGCTACTCTGCATGCGGCCTTTTGGACGGAACAACAACGCTGTTTTGAGCTTCCAGCAATATTTGACTGTTTGTGCAAACTTGCACGGAAAGTCCAGTATGCTATTTTGCACACTGGTTGACTAAGGTGAGAAGCCGTAGACTTGCATAGTGTAGGACCGCCTATAAGATGCCGTGTTCTTATTATGCGTCCATTCAAGTGCAAAGAATTCTACATATGTCTTTATTCTACTTATGCTTAACAATTACATGACAGGAGCACTCTGCACTGGTGAAACATCACCACGAGTGCTAAAGCTGACGTCAGCGAACTGGTGCCGACAAGTGCGCTTGTAAGTTACGTCTGCAGAGGTAGAAGGTTTGAACGAGAACGTGGGCGCTGGAGAGAAGACATTTGTGCAGGTCAGGAGTACTGTAGGTCGTAGCCTTCACATAAGTGCTCGCCAAAAAATGATTACATCTAATCTTTGTCATCCTAGGGGTCATGCCCGTGACAGTGTCCTTAATAATAGTTGTCACACTTTGTTGTTCTAAACAGCTTGGAGGTGCTTGTGCATATCAAGCATAGCCTGGGGTAGTCGCTGCTGCCGCTGGAACCTGAGTGGCGTTTTATCTGTGCAGGCAGAGTCCTCGACCTCGCCAAGGGACAATGCCGAGAAGAAGCCCCCAAAGCCCAGGGAACCACGAGTGCGTCCAGTGCCGCCACCTGTTGAGGTGAAAGCTCTTTTTGCATCACCTGCAGTCGAAGAAATGTAGGTGCAAAATGTTTTAATCATTTATATTTAGTGCCAATGCTCTGTTCCCAAGCGTACTTACTAGATTAAAAAAACAACTCACTGCATTATGTTTATTAAAACATTACAGTAATATGTGCAGTGTCCCAAAACTCCACAGGTGTGTGTTGTACGTGACTAGTGCCTCATCTGAAGCACCTTTAGATAATGGCAGTTAGCCATATTTGTGCTTGAGCTTTGTTGATCGTGCAGAATCTGGTGGCAGCTGGCTGTGCAGATAAGACAGATGCTTGGGCTAGTTGGTGATCGGGAATCAACATATTTCCCAGCGCAAGACTACGAGTAGTTACGACGTAACTACAGAAGAAGAGACAAGGACAGAAAGAGCGCTGTACACCTGCACCTGTCCTTGTCTCTTCTTCTGTAGTCACGTCATAACTACTCGTAGTCTTGAGCTGTGCAAATATGGCTGTACAGCCTACGCAGGTGCAGCGCTTCACTACAATGCTGCATATAGTCAGCGACAATCGCTGTCCAACTGTGTCTAGTTTTTGCGACATTGTGCAAAAGAACTAAGGCCAAATACTGTATGCATCAAAAGTCGCAGAGCCTGTTTTACCGGCAATATTTGTCTCCTCCCAAAAAAATCGTTTTTTTGTTTTCGTGAACTTCATACTATAACACTTTTTGGGGGCTTAGTTGCTGCATACTGACTAAAATTATTTAACACAAGCAAAATGCATCATTGTCTGTTATCTCTTAGTAATATTGTCTCTAATAAAAAGCGAGACGAGCTCTCAAGTTTACCCTTCTTTCCTTCATTCATAGTGAGGGTATCGTTCTGGTAGACTTAATGTTTTCAGATGGTATGAGAAAGATTATTGGTCAGCTGCTAGCTCATAATAAGGTCACGTGCTACGGTACACAGACAGGCAAATAATGAGCATCCCACATTCGCCGCAATGGCTGCAGGCAGTGCTGACTCAGGCTTCGTCCTTTAAATGCACATTATACCCTATTGACTGGGCGAAGGGATGACCGCTTTGTAGTGCGGTGGTATGATCCTGCTGGTGGCAAGTTATCTTTTTGTCCACTTTTCTTTCTGCACATTACATTACAATTACTTCTAATAACAACCCCTGTACTGCACATGGTATTACTGTCTGTTAGTTCTTATTAATATTGAGTCTAATGAAGAAAACAAGCCCTTAAATATCTTGCATGCGAGAGAAAAGCACTACCTACAACTGTTTATTGCACGACGACATGAAACAAGTGTTGAATGGAAAAACATGTGAGAATGGTAACAGATTTTCTATCTTGTATACATGTCAAGCAATTTAGAATAATTAGTATGCATAGTGACAGAAGGCTTGCTTACGGACCCCATCCCTCACTTCCTAATGAGAAATCTGTCTAGTGCATTCGAACCCCTTTATAAGCGACACTGATGTAAGAGACAAATGGTTATGTGAAACACCAGTGTGCCAACAGTGGAATACAAGTTGATAGGAAAATTCACATGAGGTATTGCTTCTAAGAGACATCTCATGTATAAAACAAGAATCGCCATCCGAAGCATGTCACTTATAAAGAGGCTTGCATACTGTATATAAGATAGAGATTTCCATGACACGTGTATGAGATAGGAAATATGTTATCAATCTCACTTCCTTTCTTTCTTTTTTTATTGAACGCATTTGCACAGCTGCTGCATGTTTACCACATTTACTCGCATAATCCTCACACTTTCACTGAGGAAAAGTTGGCGTGGGAGGGTGGGAGTGGGGGAAAGAAATACACAAAGAAAATTTTCTACGAAAACCTACAGAGCAGGGGGAAAAGAACAGAAGCAGCTGCAAATCAGGATTTTCACGCTAGCATCTAACAAGCTTTAAGAAGTACTAATCAAGACTTGCCACAGGTTGAACACAAGACAAGATCGATTTGAAGAGAGTTTTCAAATACCATACGCAAAGCTTGCGGGTGTAGTGTTAGTGTTCATCACTAAACGGCAGCTTGCAACAGGTCAACCTTGGGCTGATAGCAATCTGACACGGAATCGTCCGCAGTTACCTTCTGATGAAGTAGTGTTACCATCCACCCTAATCTTAGGCATGCGGAAAGCCCTGCGCGTCTTAATGACTTTCAGCTGCCCATACTGTTCAAACTCGTCTATTCCGAAATCGCTACCGTTCGCCCTGTTGAATTGTTTAGCGCATGATCAATTGCTTTCAACTCTAGCTTCCACTGGAGTACACTAACGCACTACAATGCACACTTGCTACTTTGCCTTGGTTTGGCTTGGTTTAAATTGGGCCTCTGTAGTGTGCTCAATGCTTAAGAGGTGGCGCCAGGCTGTTGTGCGCTGTCATCTTGAGTGGTTAGAAAGAGCAGATGACATTACGGCTACAATAGGAAAAAAGAACTCGACTTTGCAGGTTTCAACTTGGTTTTAGATACGGCACTGCTACAGCCAATAGCCTCATTTAAGTACTTAGGGGTCATGTTTCACTCGGACATGAACTGGAAATCGCATGTAGAAAAGACATGCTCCAAGCTAGCATATGGGTGTCACACGCTACTAAAAGCCTGTGAATGTTTTGGCACATCGATTTTACGCATCCTATATTTTGCATTCGTGCACAGTCACTTGAGCTACTGTATAGCATCGTGGGGCAGTACATATAAAACTCATTTGAAATGTATTAGCCGCCTGCAAAAGAGGGCAGTCCAGATTATCACATACTCAAACAGGACGGATACTCCAAAATAACTGTTTCAAATGATGCATGTACTTCCACTGGACTCTGTTCACGTGTCCAGTGTTGCTGATATAGTGCATGGAATAATAAAACGTGATGACCCATTCCCATTGAGCACCTTTACGTTATCCTTGCACTGTACAAGAGCTACAGCGAATCACTGTTTTAATTTACCGGTAGCCAGAAATGCCTACGGTCGAAGGCTCATAGAATTTCACGGCGCTCTCATATGGAATGCAATACCGACTGATGTGAAAAAGGCCAGAAATTTTTCATTGGCCATAAAGCATGCACTTCATGCGAACTTTCTAAGTAATACGACTGTATAGTCATTTAGCGTTATTAATATTATTATGATCATTATTTTTCTAGTGCTAATATTATTCTGTGCTATAAGTAGCTATGTTCTGCACTATGTTTCTTTGTATAATTCTAGCATGTGTTTTTTTTTCTATTTTCAAACATTGTATCCAGTTTGATGTCCTTTGTCGCTGTGTAACCGCTTGCGCAAGTATGTACGTATGTCACACAATTGGTCCCTCTACTAGCCAGTTATGCTATGGGACCAAACAAGTGTTTGCGAAGTTTTTTGTTACATGGATGTGAAAGTTACAATTAAAAAAAAAATTCGCATGTGATAATTACTCACTGGAAAAAAAAAATCGTATTTTTTGAGGGAATGTGGGGGGGGGTCTGCAAGTGCGACGATTATGCGAGTAAATAAGGTATATATATGCACTCAAACCACGATATAAGAAACCTGGATATTATAAAATACTGGTTATAACAAATTAAATGAAAGACAGTCTTCTAATAGGTTTAGTGTTAGGAATAAACGTTTATAAAAAAATTTCGGACATAACAAACTTGATTTCGTATAAGATGCAACTTTGTTATAATGAGGTTTGAGTGTATATGACGACATTGTGCAACAAACAGATCTAAGGAACACTTGTCCCCTGTGTATCTTTCTTGTGTGCTGCACTTTTTCTTGTGCTAATTTTTATCTCATGAAGTAGATTGTCTTCGTTTGCTGTTGGAGCTTTCCGTCATTGTAGTAGGGGCTCTCAATCAATCTTATTCTTTCTCTCAATTTTATTCAAACCGAATAGAATTTTTTTCAAATACTTCAAAATGAAACTAAAAAGAAGTTGCAGAGGATGCCTAAGCACATTATGAGATTGCAACATAGAATTATTTTTGTTTTTTTGTCTACGTTGGTAATGTTCTGTAGGAGTGTTCTATATTTGTTTTACAAGAATGATGGAATACAGAAACTGAATTGTATTTACTTATATGATTTGGTGCAATCAATGTGGTATCGACAACACTTAACACGTGAACTCTGTGTACGTTTCAAAAAGTTTATTTTAGGCATATATTACTGTGATGTTCGCAGGTCACTATGAACAAGACGCGTTTGCAACACTCGTAGCATTTATTGGGGGTAGCAAGAAGACGCGGAAGCTATGCGTTGGTGTCACTAGCTGGGAGCAGTCTGTCCTGCAAGGGCGGAGAGCTCGCTCGCTACGAACGCTCCTGCTTATGTCACTCGGTGCGTCTCGTGCAACGCTGGTCGCTGACTCCGGAGTCTCGTAGCACTTCCTCCACCGCAATTCAAGAATCAAGATGCCTGGAATCTGTTGGGTTGCTTCCTAATTAGTTGAGAGTATCACCTCGGAAGGCTGTTTTTGCTGACCATGCTTGCTGCTATATTTTCAAAGGCGGCAGCTGCTGCGGGTACACATTCTACAAAGGCTGTATAGCAGTTGTCTGTGTCCTCATTCATCGCAAATGAGGACGCTGTCGTTGTGGTAGGGGCTGAAAGCAAATGATCTGTGGGTCGTCTTTATGTACAAGGTCATTTGGTGTCTGCACCTTGACCTCGTACGAGACTGGTCCCGTCTGCTGCAATATAGTTGCATCGAGCCACTTTGGTCCGCTCCTGAAATTGCGCGCCAAAATTTGCTTGTTTACTTGAAGCGTAGCGTGAGCGGTGTTTCGCCGCGTAATTTGTTAGGACTGGCTTGTGCTGACCGTGCACAATAAGGTGGGCTTCAGTGCGTCCGAACGAGTGTGCATCTAACGACCTAGGAAAATATAAGATGGTGTCTCTAGCGTTGTTGCATGTGGCGTGATCCGATGCACCATCAAGAATTTAGACGTTTCCTCAAGACTTTCTGTTGCAGGGCCTTTGCGTAGGGCATTTTTTAAG